CTGTATTGTGCGAGTTTGGATAGATTCGTTTGGCGCAACAACCACGCAATGAATAGTTGCGTGATCCTATGTATTATCCGGCAAAAAGTTGCGCTACTCCCAACTATTTGCCCATTGGCTGCCAAGCTGTTTTGCGTTAGGTTTTCTGTATAAAACCAATAAATCCCTCTGCAACTTGCTTGCGCGCTTTTCCCCAGTCAACTGCTCCAGAAATCACCGGGAACAAAGTGTCGGCGAGCATTGCATTGTTGAATTTGTTTGCCAGCTCCGAAGTCGTGCAAAAAGGGCGGCGCGATGCAGCAACCGCACACGTCACACCACTCCAACGCATTAACTGGAGCACAAACGAATTTGGACGCGATCCATGGACTCGGGAATGACTTGAACCAATCGATCGATCGACAATGTTGCCAGGCCAACCAAGCAACGATCAACCCGGCGAGTGGACTTCGACAAGAGATGCGCCAACGATTTGACGAAGTCGACACGCGACTGGATGATGTGGACATTCCACTTGGTGCTGCTACTTGTTGGTACAAAGGCTGCCTGCCAGCACAACGCAATCGGCGGCGTCCACTATCAACTTACATTGGTCAACGTAGAGTTCGCTTCGCTTGCTGCTCGGGAGGCAAATAAGCTGACCATGCAGGCCAACGACGTCGGAGAAAAGGTGGAGGTGGATCCAAGTTCTTGGCGGCTATGACCAGCCCGTTCGACTTCTGAGCAGCGACCGAAGCGAACTCCACGTTGACAAATGCAAGTTGAAAGTGCACACCGCCAATGTCGTTGCGCGAGCTGGCACGGACACCCTTCGCACCAACATGTACCAGTGCCAAGTCGAGTGTCAACGTCATCTAGTCCCGTGTCGACCGTCAAATCTTTGGTACATCTCTTGTCGTAGGCCGCTCGTTGCGTTGATCGTCGCTTGGTTTGTCTTGCAACATTGTCGATCGATCAAGTCCAAATTCGTTTGTGTTGTCAAAAGGTGCTTTGCAATGGGTTGGAGTGGTATGACGTTTGCAGTTGCTGCCAACGGAGTCGATTGATCGATTGGTTCGTATCGTGTCGGTGCCCTTCAACTTCATTTGGGTTGCAGCAATGTCAGTGGATTGCAACACGTTGGAGTGGTGTGGCACGCGCGATTGCTGCATTGCACCACTCAATTTTTGATCGGCTTGAGAGCCCGCTGTTAATTCGGTGGCCATCGCAATGACGGCATCGCTCATGATGTTGGTACATCGCTCGTAAAGCATTCCACCCCAACGCGCCATCCACTCCGTAAGCTTCCTGTCCTCGTAACTGTGGTGGGTCGACATCCATGTCTCCGAATCCCTTCGACATGAGTCGGAAGGCGGATGGATTGCTATGTGCGCCATGTTTGTTCCTCGCAAAGCTCGCGGCGTCCACCAAGAGCGTCACGGCCTCTCGTCCACGGCGGCACTTGCATTCATGCCGACGAACTGATTCGCAAAAACGTATTGATGTAACTGAATTTCTGACCGAAATCTATCGTGTGTTCGAAAATCGACGGTTCCGCGGGAATCCCATGCATCAGAGAGGAGGTGGTCGCGCCATGGATTCAACGCCCCTACTCGCCAAGGAGAACGACGACATGCTGTTCTCGGCGAGCTGGCTTGTCGAAGATGCCTTCTTATGCGTGTCCCGTCCGGAGCCAGTGCGCACTCCACTTGCGCACCGCATCTACGTCGTCCACTCGAAGCTCGCATTCGTCGGACGTTATGTTTTGTACGTCCTGATCGGTCTGGCATTCGTTCAAACCCCGCACTGGTGTGACGAATCCAAGCCCTTCCCATGCGGCGACCCTGCCGACGTAGCGACTCCCATGACGTTTCAAATGAACTACCTCTCGACTGCGCAAAGTCAAACGCTTGAAGCGACCTGCCTTTTCCTCCTTCTCGTCAACGTCCTTGTGCCGTTTGCATACCTCCACGAACGCTTCCTCGTGCGTCATGAAAGGTACACTGTGTCCATCCCGTGGTTGAACATGTGCTTACACTCGAGGGTGAAGTCGTGTCGAGCTCGTTCTACTCGTCGTCTCCCTCGTCGACTTGTCGTTGTCGGCGGTGTTGCCAGAGACGTATGCCCCGATCGCCCATCTTCACATCCATGACTACGTTCGCATCGCACTCCTCGTCACGACGCACACGTCGCTACGTCGATCCCTTCGCAAGATCCTCCTCGTCCTATCGGAGATCTACAGCATCCTGAGCCTCGTATTTGTCTTCATTCTATTTTACGCGTGGATGTCGATCGTGCTCTTTAGCGGCACCCCCGAAGGTATGCCCATCGTCCCCCGTCATCTCACGGCACGTTGTGACGCATGGAGCAGGCGACGCGCAAATGCCCAACATGACCACCGCGTGCTGGCACTTTTACGTCCTCCTCACGACGTCCAACTTTCCCGACATCATGATGCCGGCGTACAACGCGAACCGCGCGACGTGTCTTTTCTTCATGTTGTTCATCTGCTTTGGGCTTTTCTTCCTCATGAACGTTGTCTTGGCCGTCATTTTCAATAACTTTGCGCGCTACACGGAAGCCGAGACCAAGCTCCGGCACGGAATTCGGGAGACCAAGCTCACGCAGGCGTTCCACCTCCTCGCGACGCACACGACGCGGTTCTCCCGCGACGGCGCCTCTGCCGACGGCATTGCCTTGGACGTGTGCGTGCGCATGTTTGACGAACTCAACCGGTGCAAGCACGTGTCGCACATTCAAAAGGCAAAGATGCGCCAAGTGTTTGCCGCGCTCGACACAAACGGCGACAACCAGATCCAACTCGGCGAGTTCCTCCAGACGTGCGACGTCCTCGAGACGCTGCTGTTTGCGGACGACGTGTTCCAGTCAGAGGTCGAAGTGTGGTGTCCTGCAGTCGTGCACGCGTCGTGGTATGTAGCATTGGACCGGGTCATTCGGAGCCAGTACTTTGAGTGGATCGTGGACGCCGCGCTCGTGCTGAATGCAGTGTTGGTCGTGATCGAGTCGTCGGGCGTCATCTACGGCAACACGTCGGCGGACGACCACTGGGACGGGTGGGACCGGTTCGAAGTCGCCTTTACAACGCTGTACGTGTTGGAAATGACGGCCAAGATCGTGCTGGACGGCATGCGACGGTACTGGGCGTCCGTGAAGAACCGATTCGACTGCATCATTACGGTCGCCGTTGTCGCGGTCGACATGGTTGCGTACATCGGGAGCGCCTCGCCGTCGCCACAGCTCGTCAGGGTCTTTCTCATTGCACGATGCTTGCGACTCTTTCGCTTGATCATCAATGTCCGAGGGTAACGTGGCGCTAGTGCAACTGCGTTAGTTCACGTTGCTGGGTAGGTACCGCCTCATCTTCACGACGTGGTTCCGCCTGCTTCGGTTTGGCATGCACTTGCTCCTGCTCCTGTTCTGCCACATGTACATGTTTGCCCTGCTCGGCAACCAGTTGTTTGGCGGTCGCATCTCGCCGGCCGGGATGCGCACCGCGTTCCCCGACGACCCGTATACCCAAGCGGACTACATGGCCAACAACTTTAACGACATGCCTGGCGCGATCGTCACGCTGTTTGAGCTTATTCTCGTCAACAACTGGGTCGTTATTGCCGGCGGACACGTCGCCGTCACGTCGACGTACGCGCGGTGGTTCTTCATAGCGTACCACGTCCTGGGGGTGACGTTTCTGCTGAATCTGGTCGTGGCGTCCATTTTGGTACGCCATGGAGACGGCATGGAAGCGGACGATGAGTGGTCTTTGTAGGATGCATTCCTGGACGAGTACAAGACCGAGCACGCGAAGACCGTGACTGAAGTGGACGGCACCGACTTTACTGCGAGTCCTTGGATCGATCGAAACGCGGCGGGTCGAGTAAGCCGCGACGTAGGACCGCTGGCGTCAACATTGCAGCACCGCCCCAACTACGGCACGTCCAAAGTGTCGGCGTAGCGATCCGCTTCGGCTCCATCTTCGCCGAAAAGTAATAGCAGCGCTTCATGATATTGGGAGATGTTGCTACGTCACGCGCGACGATGTGAAGCTCCTTGTTGCATCGGTGTGCTCAGCACAACAGATTGCCCACAAACCACTGAGCATTCGTGCCCTGCATTGCGTTCGATCCTAGCTCAATATGAACGCAGCAACACGACGTATTGCCTTCCGGTCAGTTTGTGTCGAATTGAGTAGAGGCAATTCAAGGGCCGTCCCAATGTGTGGCTGCGTTCGCTCGAGCGCCGTTGGCAACGACGAGGCCTAGGATACCCCGTTCACCACCATCGCACCTCCTTGACAGTGCGCTCGGCGCCTTCTATCACCTCATCGTAGGAGTTTGTACTGAGACCGCAAGTTCCGCCTCCATTGAATGATGCAGCAATTCGAGAGCATTCTACCATCAGCATCACTGTCGCTACCCCCTGGTTTCAACGTGCAGTCATGGGTTGTCGCTCTCTACGCTACGACGGAATTCCTTTCGCTCTAACGAAGTGGTGGTGGCAGCTACGTGCGCCTCGGCGATGGAATGCACTGGGCGATTGAGCATGGTGTCGCCGGGCGTTGTTGGCTCGGCAATGATGAATTGAAGATTGCAAAGCGCCGTTGGTTCTGTGCATTTGATTGGGCATAATATTGCAACGATGCGACTTTTGATTGGCTGGTTTGAAGATTGTTTATAAAATGATTTCAATATTTTTCTCGATACAAAACCAAAGTCAAAATTGAAAAATCTTCACTTCTGAAGGTTGAACTCATGTCGGATTTCTTCGTCTCGAGTTCAGTTCGGCATCTCGACCCAACGTCTCGCGACTGGCGCGGCGCGATGGAAGGCCCAACGCCTGCAACGTGCCTGATCTGCATGGACGAACTTGCATCACCGATGAACGGAGTGCCAGGCAAGCGGCGGCAAAAGACGGTGTACAAACCAGACGACTGCTGGAGATTGAGATGCGGACACATGTATTGCGTCGGGTGTTTGTCTGGGTGGGTTGCGAGTAAGATCGAGGAGCGCAGTGTCCCGATTGTGTGTGCTTCCCTGAATTGCTCACGAGAAGTTCGCCCACCGCACATCGCCGCCATCCTGAGCGGCAAGTTGTTTGAGAAGTTCAGCGAACTCGTGACGGCCAAGATGTACGAAGCGGACAGCATGTACTGCCCGAACAAGCAATGCTCGCAGGTGTTTGTGAAGCCCTCTTTTCGCCCTGGTCAAGAGAAAACCACTTGTCTCCTTTGCGAAACGATCCTGTGCCTGCGATGTCAGGTCGGATGGCACGATGGACTGAATTGCGACGAGTACAAGCGCATGATCGCGGCAGGCGGCGACTCAGATGAAGCGCAACTGTATCAGCTCAAGTATACGTTCCAGTGGAAGCAATGCCCGAAATGCAACATCCTCGTCGAGCGCTCCACTGGGTGCAACTACATGCGCTGCAAGTGGTCCGTTGACTATTATACATGCGCCGCTCCCCTCTCCGTCTTCCCTGACCATCCGTTTTCTTAGTGGCGAGCCATTTTGCTACGCGTGCGGAGTACCCTATGCAGAGAAGGTCCCGACGCCAGACCACCCCCATGGCAAGGTATTGTGGCCAGTTGTCCATTTCGCGCAGATATCTACGGCGTTGCTGTATTAGCCCGGATGCCAATGTGGGCTAAACCCACGCAACGCCGAGAATGCTGACCGCGTCGACGTGGCCATGGCAGGCGCTCTTGCCTTTCTACGCCAACAATTGCTACACGGGAGAGCGGCAGCTACGCCGGAGGTTGCCGCCATCGATCTCGTACGCCAACGACTCCAAGAGTACCCTGTCGTTGATGCCGTCCGGGAGCGTCTCGATCGCATGCCGGGGGAATTTGAAGACATTTTGCTGCGGCACTTGCCACTGGATATGCATCAGCACCGCGTAGCGCTGCGCGAAAACTTTCGACGAGGCCTTGACATGTTTCAGAACCACTTGCCGCTCCCCCTTGGTGCCGCCGCTGCCCCAGCGGTGATTCCCCCGCCCCCTGGAGCGGGTCGGCGTGTCCCTCGCAATAATCGAAGGGTGGTGCAGCCGGCTCACCTGGCGCCACTTGAACCGCCTCCAGGGCTTTTACCACCTCCTCTCGTCGCCCCGCTCGATGTTCCCGTGGACTTTTTGGCGGGACGACGCATCACTCGCGCTGGTCGAATGGCGGCACTTTTTCGCGATGTGCGGCCGCCGCCGGGACCGATTCCACCTGTCCCTTTCACAGTCATGAATCCACCACAGCGAACACTCCGGCAATCCGCCCGCGCTGCTGCCATCGAAGCGAGTATAGCTGCGACCAACACAAAACAAGCAGCAGCTGCATCAACAACACCAACTTTGACCGCTCATCCATCCTCGCGACCAGTAAGTAGAAAGCGAAAGGCAGAAGGGTAGGTGGATTGTCATCCAAACGGAGATGTGCATCCAGTGGGCAGTGGGAAGCAAAAGCGTGTTGAATTGAGAGAAGAAGCCTTCGAGGAGGGTCGAAGTTTGCTGCACGCCAAGAGAGGCCGTGCTTCTTCAGGAAGCATGGCAGTGCAATGGAAATCCCGCGCCAGTTCACCGAAATGCTGCCTCTTCGATCTCTTACTTTCGTTCCTACAGGGAACGACGGAAATCCTTCCCCCGTG